CTATATTATTCTTAATATAAATACCAACTCCACCCCCTCGAGTTTCTCGATCATTTCTAAAAAAATTGTATCCGTCTATTTCTATGCTATTACCAGAAATTCGCTCTGAAAGCCAGGTCTCCGTAACTCCCAATATGTCCAACTCCAACCTATGAACAGAATCACTCACGCTGTCCAGACTAGGCAACAGTGAGCGAATATATATATATATATATATATATATATATATATATATATATATATATATATATATATATATATATATATATATATAGTTAGGAATGGATCGCTTAGTGATCCATGATGTAACACTTTTGACTTGTTGTTGTTATGGAGGCTTTTACACACTGTAAGAAATTTGTTGGGTACTCCAAACTTTTTCATAATTGCCCAAAGCGCATCCCTGTTCACAAGTTCTGAAAGGATTTTTTCTATATATGGGTATGATACAGGCGGTTTGACATAATTTTTGCAAGAATTTTTCCTCCGATAGTCAATGGTGAAATTCCCCGGTAATTTCCGCAGTCTGATGCACTTCCTTTTTTTTTTAAATATATTCACTATATTCGCGTTGCGGAAGTCCTGAGGTACCTCTCCGCTTTCCCATATGACCCCTCTATTCTTCACAATATTTTCCAAACAACCACAAAAAAGCCACGAAAAGCAAGCAGAAGCGAAAGAAAAAGCCGAATAACAATAATGCGATCGGCGACGGCTTAAACAGTGAGGAGGAAAGCGGCTTAGAAACCGCGCGCATTTTTATTGTTTCGTTGCGATTTTCATTTTCAAAGTGAACGCATTTGTGGGGCTTGGGGCTCGATTAGGTGGGGGCGAGAGCCCCCCGTTCGCACTTGCGGGGCTTCGGAAACCGTGCGGGGACGCTTAAACGGCGCCGCGACGCGCGGTGGGTGCCAGAACTAAGCGCTAAGTCCCCGGGAAAATCACGGAAGGAAGCCGGCCAAGTAGGAGTTAAATTGTATTTTGCCGGATCAATCTAAACGAAGTCGATTATTGCAATTATTTTTACCCGTTTTTCCGATAATAGAAAATTATACCAGGTTAAGACATTGGCAGAGACTTGCGTGATCATAGATATAGATATGGTATAACAGATAGATATAATATAGTCCGTCTAGAAAGTACCCGGAATTTTATATTTTTTCTAATTTTAATGTATTTTTTTCTGTAAAACTCTAAGACAACAGTATTCCATCACGTAGGCTGTGCCGATAGTAGGCTATGACCAAAATCGCATGGCAACACCATCTGTCAAATATTGTTGATTGTAAACCGGCTTAAGGTTTGAGAAATAATGTCGCAAGTAAAAAAAAAAGAGAAATGGTGGAATATTTCTATAGAAAAGGTGTTCGAAAAGTTAAAGAATTAGTGCAATTCACTGAACTCGGAAAAAGTGCAGTATATGAGACAATAAAGAGGATAAAAAATGGCACAGATATGAAGCATGGACCAGTTTCAGGAAAACCGCATAAGATTCGCGAAAACAATTTAAACGCTTTAGTGGCATTAGGACGACAGAATCCGCGCCTAGGGTTTCGCAAATTGGCTAACAGATTTGGAAGTCAGCGAAAATTAAAAGTGTGTCCAGAAACCGTCCGCATGTCACTGAAAAGACAAGGCTACATATCCTCGTAACAAACCCTCGAAATTATGCCGTATTTTTTCAGAAAAGAATGCTCAAAAGTTCAGCCACTTATGTAAAACAACCAACTGGGATACTAGCTCTTATGATGTCGACACCGAATTTTCTATTTTCGTAAAAACATTAACCAGTCTAGCGTTCAAATCCTTTCCTCTTAGGCCTATAAAAAATAAGCACAATAAACCTTGGACCACTAGAGGTCTACGCATATCTTCTAAAAACATGCGTTCATTATCTCACTTAAAAAAACAGTCTCTTCTTCCACAATTACGTAAAACTATACAGAAAAATTTATCATAAGGCTATAAGAGCCGCTAAGGACCTTTATTATAATAGGAGAATAGTCAATTCTGGTAATGTTGCTAAAGAAACATGGTCTATTGTGAATGAGTTGAGAAACAAAGTTTCTTCGTCTAGCAATATCTCTACCTCACCTGAGAACCTTAACGATTACTTTGTAAATGTAGCGAAAAACTTAACTAATACCATATGTCCTCCTCATGATCCACTTTCTTAAATCTCTAATGATATTGTAAACTTACACAGTTTCTTTTTTTCGCCCGTAGTTTTAGAAGAGCTTCGCAGTACAATTAATACCATCAAAAATAAATCCTCTTCTGGGACCGACGGGCTAACTTTAAAAATGTTTTCGAATCTGCCAGAAAGCACTCTGAATCACCTAACAACTTTAATAAACATGTCGTTCCAAAATGGTATTTTTCCAAAATGTCTTAAGACGGCAATAATCATTCCTCTGCATAAAGGAGGAGATAAAGATGAAGCTTCTAACTATCGCCCAATTGCACTCCTTCCAACGCTATCTAAGATCATAGAAAGGTTGATTAAAAGAAGGCTGGTATCTTTTCTGCTTAAGTACAAAATACTTACTGAATATCAATTTGGATTTCTAAGCAACAAGTCCACAAATGACGCTATGTTTTCCCTCCTTAATAAAGTTTACTCCAGCCTAAACAACCATCACTCTACAGCAAAAATTTTCTGTAATTTTTCTAAGGCGTTCGATTGTGTAAATCATAAGATCTTAATTAATAAACTGCAGCACTATGGGTTCAGGGGATCATCTCTCGAATGGTTTAAGTCGTATCTGAGCAACAGAAGTCAACTTGTGAGGGTGGATACCACGTGTCTTCTAGCAAGCCAATAGAATGTGAAGTACCACAAGGCTCAGTACTAGGCCCTATTTTGTTTCTTCTTTTTATTAACGACATTGCTAACTTAAATATCAGTGGCAAAATATGTCTTTTTGCGGACGACACTAGCTTCACTTGGAGCAACAAGGACATCACGGCACTTCATAGGATTATATCAAATAACTTAATCACCATTAAATCTTGGTGCGATTCGAACCTCCTGAGTCTCAACATTTCTAAAACTAAAGCTTTGTCGTATAAAAACTCGTTGCAGCCTTTTGTACTTAACAACACCACCATTGACGTCGTCAAGTCTGTAAAATTCTTAGGGCTTGTTGTGGACAATTCTCTGAAATGGGACATACATATCGAAGCTTTGCCGAAAAGATTGAGCTCTGCCTGTTTTGCATTAAGGTCTGTTTCTAAGGAGCTTAACTTGTCAGTGGCTAGAACTGTTTATTATGCACTTTTTGAGTCGCACCTCAGGTATGCCCTTCCATTCTGGGGTACGTGTTGTGCGACTCAATTTGACCGCATTTTCAGGCTCCAGAAGAGAGCTGTTCGATATTCACTGGGACTAAACAGCAGAACTCATTGCCGGGACTTTTTAAAAAATTAAAAATATTGACTCTTCCTTCCTTATTTATATTTGAATCCGTTTGCCTAATACGTAAACATGTATCAGCTTCTCAAGAAAGGCCATCTCACACTTATCCACTCAGGAACGCGGAGCAAGATCTTTATCTACCTACCCCACGCTCAGAGTTAGTTAAAAGTTCAATATTATACAACTCGATAAAAATGCACAATCACCTGCCATTTGAAATCAAATCCATTACATCATTTTTTTCATTTCGCAAAGCATTGAACTCTTATTTACTAGACAAGGCTTTCTACGCCGTAAATGAATTATATTTTGAAAATCAAATTTGATCTTGTAAACACTGGTCTAATGCTTGCTATTGCTATATTTACTAATGACATCGAAATGAATTTATTTAGAGGTCATTGATATTTTACTATAAACTAGCTAAATATTTTTGAATATTATTTTTATTTTTTGTTCTTTGACATTATAAACATTTATAAATTTTTATTTTAACAATAAGACTGACAATATTATTTGTATAATGTTTTGTATTATCTTTTGTTTGTTTGTTTGTGTATCTTGTTTTTTTACTTTGTTTGTTAGTTTACCTTTGTCTACAAATTGAAAATGTTTTTGACAATAAAGGCATTTATTTATTTATTATTTATTTATTTATTTATCAGTATACTACATAAGCGAAAAAAACCCTGCAATAACACCTCTGCAGCGAAGAATGGATTTTTGTCAACGTTTTCAAGAAGATGATTTTAATGTTTTTATTTTTGACGAAAGTTGTTTCCAGCTTGGTGGAAACCACCTAAAAATCCTATCTAAAGAACATGTTACCGTTCAAGTTTCAAAATTTCTCACTAAAATAATGGTCGGTCATAAAGTTATTGGGGCACATATTTCAATACTTCCTTCAATTTTAAGCAATAATCGTAATACACAATGTACATAAATTGAAGAATTGAAATGTTAAACGAAAATTTTGTAATTTCCAGACTTGATATAATCTCATTTCATACATCTCTAAATGCCAACTTGAGAACTAATGTCAAATATTATTAAGTATCTCAGTTTCGGCAGAATGGCATAGTTAAATGAAACTGAACATATCGAAATTAATTAGATCAAATTGTTTAAGTGATATTTTCAAAAGTCAATAACTCGGAAACGGTTGATTTGAGGTACATTGTGGTATTTCGATTTTTGATTAGAATTGAAGGAAGAACCGAAATATGCAATAATATATAGGGGGTTCCATTTAAATAAATGAAACTTTTATGTGCCACGACTTTATGACTGACCCTGTATATTTAAATTTATTACTCGCTAATAGATATTTAAAAATCCTATAACTTTTGTATTTAACTTTTTGCGGTATCTATATTTTACTTAATAATGGACCGTTTTCATACTTTACAGCGACCCGTATAATAAAATTTAAAAAATATGAATAAACAATATATTTAATTTTGAATAATTGCTAATCAACATTATTAACTTCAAAAGAGAAAACTTCGGCAACTTCAAAAGAGAAAAGTGGTTTTGTGTTAATTTAGATATTGGTATAAAGCTATGAAATATTTATTTTTACCTGTTGGGCTAAGTTTATCCGTGGTTACTTGGGAAGGCAAACGGCCCCAGTACCATGGTAACGTCCTTGGGTCTGCGGTGGTACCACAGAGGGCAGCGTATCGGTTGCTGGCGGCAGCCAAAGCACCAAAGTGTGACATGATACCCAACCTGCAATATAAGTAATAGTATTTTTAATTTGTATAAGTTTCTTTCTAACAAGAAACATTATTAGGTGAATAGTTTTTGGTCCCAAATGATGATATAGAAAATAGATACCAAAAGAAAATATGTTTCATGTATAAGTTTCAATAATGGGACTTATACAGGGTGAGTCTTAAATAAGTATCTCGATAAAAGAAACATATTTTCTATACCGTTTTTTAAATAAGTTCAAAATAACCCAGTTATTCAAGTTTGAAAATTGAAAGAAAATTTATTTATTCTTGAAAAATTTTGAGAGCCACCGAATTTTTCCTGTATTCCCATCCCGTTTAGGTTTGGTTGGATACCGTGGAACAATTTGCGGTGAACAGGCAGTTCTAAAAAGTTTTTTTAAAATATAAACTCACCGGCATAAAAAACGGCCATTAAAAACTAGTCCCAATTTCAAAGTTGGATTTCTCGCGAACCACTCATTAGATTTTGATGATTTTTTTTAAATTGTAAATTAATTCCTTCTTAACGGATGCTACGACAGAAATTTTTATTCCGAATTTATTTTGAGCATATACAGGGCACAACAACAAGACGAAGTTTTTTGCCCGTACTTTGTAACACTCTGTAGGGTGCAGCAGCTCTAGTAGCTATTGCTAAATCAAATCACATTGTAGCCTCATCTCGTGAGCATTTTGTTAATCACGACATTATCTCTGTTTGTATTGGAGATACGCTGCTTTAAAACGAACGTCTCGGAAAAATGCTTCACAGGCAGAAAGTTTTATGTGTAAATAATCAAGGCAACATAGGCAAAAACGGATTTATGAGTATTTGCAATATGACAACAATGATTGTCAAATTAAAAAATGCCATTGTCTGTGACGGATGTTGCTCGTATTGTGGCTTTAATTGAGGATGGCCGAAGTCAACATTATCTCTCCGATATCCTGGGTATACTTCGAACAACAGTCCAGGATGTCTGGAATCGGTATATTAAAACGGGAAATTTCACCAGGCGAGTAGATTCCGGAAGGAAACGGAAGACAAATGCAATTGACGACCGCTTTATTGTCCTCAATACTTTACGAAGTCGTAGAATTACAGCGTTTCAGAATCAACATCTGCTACAAGCCGTGCGTAGAGCTCAAGTCAGTGAGAGAACAACTGTCGAAGAAAACCAGCTTTTCTGCAAGGTGGCCTGCCACAGGACCCCAGCTACTTCCAAGACATCGTGGAGCACGTCTTCAGTTTGCGCGTTTACATGTGAATTGGGATATTGAGCAATGGACTAAAGCTTTTTTCGAGGCGTTTGTTTTGAAGCAGCGTATCTCCAATATAAACAGCGATAGTGTCGTGATTAAAAAAACAAAATGCTCACAAAAGATGAGGCTACAACATGATCTGATTTAGCAATAGCTACTACAGCTGCTGCACCCTACAGGGTGTTACAAAGTTCGGGCAAAAAACTTCGTTTTATTGTTGTGCCCGGTAGATGCTCAAAATAAATTCTGTTAAAAATTTCTGACGTAGCATCCGTTATGAAGGAATTAATTTAAAATTTAAAGAAAAAATCATCAACATCTAATGAGTGGTTCGCGAGAACTCCAACTTTGAAATTGGGACTAGTTTTTAGTGGCCGGTTTTTTTGCCGGTGAGTGTACATAAAATTTTAAAAGAAAATGCACGATTTTCAACATAAACCATGAAAAAAACCAATAGACGTGTTCTTGGGGTCGAAATATACCAGCCCTGAAAATATTTCAGAGCTGCAACAAGTTTAAAAAGTTTAAACTTTTTTTAAAAGACTTAAGTCATAAGTAATTTCTAAAATCAAAATGATTAAGGTCTTAAGTCAAATTCATTTTTGTACAGACTTGAATCAATATAACGTTATTTAAGTCGTTTTTATGGCTTAAGTCTATATTTTTAACTTAAATCATGATGATCTGCAAGTTAAGTCAGTAAAATGACCGAAATCAATATATTTACCTTAAAGTCAAGGCAACCAGAATTCAATTTAGGTAGGTAACTTTTTTTAAATGTTAATATTAATTTTCTTGTATTACCAATTAGGCGGTTTTCTTAGTAAGTATTATATTATTAATTTATTGTTGTTTATGAAATAAAACTACATAAAATAAAACGTTTAAATAAATAAAATAAATAAATGCCTTTATTGTCAAAAAATTTTACAATTTGTAGACAAAGGTAAAGTAAACAAAGAGAGTAAACAAACAAGGTACACAAACAAACAAACAAAAGATAATACAAAACATTATACAAATAATATTGTCAGTCTTATTGTTTAAAATAAACATTTATAAATGTTTACAATGTCAAAGAACAAAAAAAAACAATATTCATAAATATTTAGTTAGTTTATAGTAAATATCAGTGACCTCTAAATAAATTTATTTCGGTGTCATTGGTAAATATAGCAATAGCAAACATTAGACCAGTGTTTACAAGATCAAATTCGATTATCAAAATGTAATTCATTTACGGCGTAGAAAGCCTTGTCTAGTAAATAAGAGTTCAATGCTTTGCGAAATGAAGAAAATGATGTTATGGATTTGATTTCAAATGGCAGGTGATTGTGCATTTTTTTCGAGTTGTATAATATTGAACTTTTAACTAACTCTGAGCGTGGGGTAGGTAGACAAAGATCTTGCTGCTCCGCGTTCCTGAGTGGATAAGTGTGAGATGGCTTTTCTTGAGAAGCTGATACATGCTTACGTATTAGGCAAACGGATTCACAAATATAAATAAGGAAGGAAGGGTTAATATTTTTAATTTTTTAAAAAAATTACCTGAGGTGCGACTCAAAAAGTGCACAATAAACAGTTCCAGCAACTGACAAGTTAAGCTCCTTAGAAACAGATCTTAATGCAAAACAGGCAGAGCTCAATTTTTTCGATAAAGCTTCGATATGTATGTCCCATTTCAGAGAATTGTCTAAAACAAGCCCTAAGAATTTTACAGATTTTACAGCGTTAATGGTGGTGTTGTTAAGTATACAAAAGGCAAAGTTTAATTTTCAGAACAACTACACACACAAAAATATTTTTTTTTTATTAAATTCAACCGATTTTCTAGTACTTTATATATATCCGTTACAGTTTAGATGTCATCGAATACATGTCTTTTTAAAAGTGGTAATGTGTTTTGATTACTATATAATATATTGATGACATAAGCTAAGGGCTGGAGGATTTTAAGGTACTCTTCAATATATTCGAGAAAATTTTCTTTCGTTCCTCTTTTGGGCTACATAACGGAGTCGGAGATTCACTTGAAAGACAACAGACTCCCTACGCATGCGTAACACGTCAAATAATTAAAACCGGTTCCGAGAAACTAACATTTTATAAAGACAGTTGTAAATAGAGATTGAAGAAGTTGAAGAAATAAAGAAAATTCAACTTGATTTCCATCTCAAGTCGAATTTTCTAAATACAATAAAATTTAAAAAAATACTACTTTCTGAAAAAATCTAAATCAGCATAAATAATTTTTGATTGTAATAATTCTAATTATACCGTCTGATCGAAAAAAATTGCGCCCAGTTAGCTTAAAAATGACGATCGATAATATTTCCTATATAAGTTTACTTATAAATAACAGCAATCTTCACATCCACATCACCCCTGACGTTTTTTTTATTGTAGGGTATTTACATCTTCAGTAATTTTATTTGTACCATACCATCGAAAAAAAAATGCGTAAAAGGTGACTTGGTTGAACTGCCATTATAATAGTTCCTGTTATCTTTAAGTTGTTTTGTTTAGGTGTATAGGTAAAATTATTTATAAACTGTTATTTTTTAGAAATTTAATATTTAATACTGTATTGTCAAATAATAGATTTTCAATTATTAAATGATCAGCCAGTAATAATTCTTTTTTCAAAATAATTTTTATTCTAAAGATAAAAGATCGATTATAGACCAATTTGATGAAGACAATTTATTTATATTTCTCTCAAATTTTTATAGTAGACACAGAGCGCATGAGACAGCTACTGTTTCTTGTTCTTTCTGCTGCTTTGTGCCGTTTAGGGAATACCGTAAGCTGTTGGTCAGCGAAATTCTACGCTGAATGTCAGCGGCTGTGTTCCCTGAACGCGCCCATTGTTTATTATTCCGCTGCTTGGCTCAGCTAGCCTAACACTTTAAAAAGAAATGCTGCTTTTAAAAATTTATCATAAAAATATATAAAAAACGGAAAAAAAAATTAATAAAAACTTTTTATAAAAAGTCTTTAAATCTTTTTCTATTTCGGAATAAAGATTTAAATCACAAATCATTTTGAAAAAGACTTAAATTTTAAGTCTTAAGTCAGCTTTTTTTAAAGTAAGCTTTTTTTTTTCTTTCTTAAACAGCGTTTCGAAACGTGACTGAAAATCAAATTACTTAAGTCATTAAAATGATTTAAATCAATAAAAGACTTAAGCTTTCTGTGAGCTTGCAGCTCTGAAATATTTGCATTTAAAGCTGTTTTGTTTAGTCAGCAAGAAAGTTAACTCAGCAAATCTTGTAGTCGACACTGTGATGAAGTAGAATTTTTAGATATAATTAGACAATGTAGCAAGTATAACCATCCAGAATTCATAGGTTATTACAATCGCTAACCCTCGAAATGAGACGGCAACAGAAGAAAAAAAAAATTATTTTCAAAAGTTTTGTCATATAAAAGTACTATACAACTTTGGTACTTAATAACACCTCTATTGACGTCGTGGACTCTGTGAATTTCTTAGAACTTGTTGTAGACAACTCGTTAAAATGGGACTTTCACATCGAAGCTCTATCAAAAAAACTAAGCGCTGCCTGTTTTGCGCTAAGATCAGTTTCTAAGGAACTTAACTTATCAACCTCTAGAATCGCCTATTATGCCCTTTTTGAGTCACATCTTTGTTATGCCCTTTCATTCTGGGGTACCTACTTGCTGCACAACAAAATTTGATCGTATTTTTTGGCTTCAACAGTTCGATATTTATTGGGACTGAACAGT